CACAATCTCCCAAGCTGGAAGGGACCCACGAGGATCGCTGGGGGTGCCCAAGGCATCAGTTTGAGCCTCACTACCACCTGCAGATGTCAATTTTCCTGTTTCCTCAAGTGCCTGCCCTGCCCTGGACAGCATCCCAGCTTCATTAATTTCTTAATCCCAGCCTCCATCATTTTTATTTTAATCCCGGTGTTCACACAACACACTTTGCACAAAGGGCAGTGCCGGTGGTGGCCGCCCACAGTGTGACACCGCAGGGTTTGCTGTGCAGCTTTCCCAGCCCTTGGATGCACTGGGACATTTGTGTGTGGGAGCCTGGGCTGTACAGGGGCGGGAGCAAACTTCCTCAGCGGCTCTCAGTCTCAAAATAACCCTGTCTGCTTCACACACGCCTGCCTGGTGGCTCAGCTCCTCTAAAAGGAGAAGAGAAAATTGTTTGGAAAGGACAGGGAGCTCCGAGCCAGGCTCTTGAAGGGCCCAGGTGGGGAGAGCTGCCAGCACAGCACGCTCCCCCAGCGCTCCTCTCTAGGACCCAGAGCAGCCACCGCTCCCAGGGGGCTCGTTGGGACATGCCAGGAGCACTCTGCTGCCTTCCCAAATATAGCCCTGCACACAGAGGTGGAGGCAGTGCTCGGGGTGTGGGGCTGGCCAAGCTCCCTGACTGCAGCCCTGAATCCTGCTCAGGAGCACGGGCTGCACCGGGGGTTAAACATTCGGCTGGGGACGTGTGGATCAGCAAAGTGCCCCCTGAGCCCATGAAGTGGCACTCACAAAGTGTCCCCCAGCCTGATGGGGATGTGAGAAGGGAATGTGTTTTGTCCCCTCATGGCAGCCACGCTGCCCTACCGGCAGGGCTGGGAGCTTCCCAGGAATCTGTGAGCTGGGAATTTTTTACTTAGTTTGGAAATAGCTTTGCAAATGACTGGTTTCCACAGCCTAAACTGTTTGGATTTTGCATTGCTTTCACAGTAACTCAACTGTAATTTTCCCTGCCCCAGCAGTCTGTGGAATAGTTTCTGGTTGAGGAAATATTTATTCCATTTGCTTCATCATGGGACTGCTTTTACCACTCCAGTTCCTCATCCAGCCTCACTCTGACCCTGCTGGGAGATGATCTGGTATCTGTGCTGAGGATCTCATCCCTCTAAATCTCCCTGGAGGCTGTGCTGAGGCCCCTGGGATCTGGGCACGGGGCTCAGGATGCTTGCAGGCAAAGCTCAGGTCATGTCAGCGCTGCCTCACGCTTCAGTTCTTTACTGAAAAGCAGAGTTACCTTTGGGTGCATTCATAGGTCTTCGTGATAATTACACATTTTGAAGTCACGCCTCCTTGGCTACAGTCCCAGCACAGGCAGTGGGTGATGCTGGAACACTAAACCAGGCAGGAAGGGTTAAAATGACCCTTAAATAACTGATTCCCCTGGTCCCACCTGCTGTAAGAGTACACAGCCCTGGCAGAGTTCTAACCCAGCGGGGCTGTGCCTGTGTGTGCCCTGGGCACCCTGGCAGGCAGGAGGAACAGTTTATACTCTCCTCTCCCCCCTGCAGGAAAGCAGCAGGAGCACCAAAATGCTCCCAACAAAACCACTGTAGGAGCCTGGGAAGGGCTCGTAGCCATGGCAGGCCCTTCCCAGAGCTGTGTGCGTGGTGCAAGGAGCGAGGAGGCAGCAGGGAGCAGAGCAAACAGAGCGCTCAGATCCAAGCCTCTCCTAGGAATTTCTGTATGCTTTGGCTGGGAAGCACCCTGCCAGGAACTGGGTGAAAAGCAAACAGCTCCCTGCGTGCTTCCTGCCCGCTTCTGCATCCGACTCAGGGCGATGGTACCCGTGAGGGGGAGCACAGAACGCTGCAAAAAACATCTCCCTTACCCAAAATTGCTCGGGGAATGGTTGCCCACAAGGGCTGCATGGCAGTGGGGTACAAACCATCCACCCTCCCCAGTGCCACGCCAGCAAACCTCCACGTGCCCCAATTCCTCAGCAGCAGGTCTGGGTGTCACAGGCTGTAAATATCCTGCGTTCCCAGCCTGGCTGCGGGGCGTTTGCCTGTAATTAGCTCTTGGGATTTGGGAGCTGGTGTGATCTGGGGTTGTCGTCAGCCACCAGCACTGGGCTGGGATTTAAAGGGACAATGCAGATGATGTCTGCATACCTCCAGATGTCTGCATACCTCCAGATGTCTGCATACCTCCGGCCTCAGTGTGCCGTCATATGACACCTTAAATAGAGAGACAAGGCTCTCCTCAAAGCCTGTGTGTGTCCTTGCCCACCACAGACCCCTTTTCTGGCAGAGTCGATGTGGTTCTGAGCAAAGCAGAACAGCTTGATAATATTCCTGCCAGGACTTTTTGGTCTTTGCCATCACCTTGGCTTGGCGTCACCTCAGCTCCAGGCGCTCAAGCCAAGGCAGCCCCTACTGCTCTGCCCACCTGTTCCCTCACAAGCCATCACTCCCCACGTCCCCGGCCGTCCCCCCAGCTGTGCCCCGGGGTGTCGGAGGGGTTCCCGGTGTGCCCGCCTGGGGCACGTACTCACGGGGTTCAGTGGAGCCAGGGCAGGGCAGCCCGCCAGCGCGCGGCCTTCTGCGCTTCTCCGTGCTCCCTGTGCCTTCGCCTCATCCCCTCTCCTGCGGCATCCAGCGGGCAGAAATAGCCCCAAAGCACGTGCTGCCTTCCGGGGAGCGATGCCAGGGGCACCCTGGGCGCTGCCCTCCTCGGGGGCTGCCCTGGCACTGGTGGCACTAGGGGCTCCAGCCCGGCGCCGTGCCGGGGCACGGGCTGCTCACAGCTCGGGTGAGGAACATCTTCATTTATCTGCCAAGATAATAAATTCTGCCTTAGAGTTTCTCACCTGGCAACAGTCACCAAGGAAACGAGAATGGCTGCTGCGGGTCCCCGCTGGCACCGCCTGGGGAGGCCCGGTGGCCCTGGCAGAGGGTGGCCGGCCGTGTGAGCATGGGGCCAGCTGCCCGCTCCAAACCCGAGCACAGGCCCAGCAGAACACACATCCGTGTGGGCTTGGCCCTCGTGCCGCCTCTCTGGAGCCGAGGGTGGGTTTCACCAGATTTGGGGTGGATTTTGAGGTTTTCCTGGCTGTTGATCCTGGTGTGTGTGCATTGGGAGGCGTGACCTGGAGCTGCCCCAGGCTCCTGGGGGGTTTCCCTGTCCCCAGCTCCAGTCTGACCAGGGATTTTGGACACTTGTTTTAAAAGCAGTGGCACCCCAAGTGTTCAGAGATCTCTGGAAATCCGCTGGTGCCAGAGGGAGATCAGATCCTGCTGCCCCTCAGAAGCTGAGCCACCGCCTGCAGGGCTGCCTGACACATGGCACTTCCCTATTTATAGCACCTGTGCTCATAGCACATTCCTATCCCTGCTGGGCTATCCCCTGACAGTGCCACCCCTAAACAGAGATGCAAGAGCTGACACTTGGAGCACATCATTTCAGCCCTCACACGGCTAACCCTGCAAAAAGCATGCCAGCCCCACGCTGTGTGTGTGGCCACTGCTGCTGCTCCCCGCAGGCTGCTGGCACAGGATGGGACAAACTGGGAAAGGCCATGGGGATGGGGACAGGGAGGTGCTGCCACTGTCCCCCATCAGCAGCACAGGTGCTGGTGCACCAGTCACCCCAAAGATGCCATCTGGCTGTGATATCAAAACAGAAATTTCATCAACCATTAACCATGTGTGGCTGCCTGCCCATGGCATGGAACTGGGGCACCTCCCTTGCCCAGGACAAGTGCCAAGCTTCCCAACAGTATATGGGGCTGGGGAGAAGGGTGTGGGGCTGGGGAAAAGGGCAGGGGGCCATGCCCATCCTGGGCTTGCACCCCTGGGGCCAGGGCAGTGTCTCAGCATCTTTGGCTCGTGGTGCTGAGCTGGTCCAGGTAGTGTGGCTGCTGCTGGGTGGTTTAGCACAGGCTGATGTGAGGCAGCAGGCTCCCTGTCTGCTCCTGGGTATGGCTTTTGAAGGATCTCATGCCTTTGTCCCTCTTCACTTCCCCCACCCAGAGCTCCTGCAGCTCAGACATCCCTGTGTGACTTCTCCTCCACACACATCAGTGGCAGCAAGCCAGGGAGGGCAGCTCTGGCTGGGAAAAGAAGCAGGAAACCTGAGAAGCAAGATAAGAGCTTCAGAGCTGAAGATCGAGGAGCTGCGGCTTTATTTCTCCACTCTCTGCCCTGTGGTGTGAGTGTCTCCACCACTTCCCTGCTCCCAGGCAGGCTCCTGCTGGGGCTGGGCACTGTTTGTACCCTGGGGAGCTCAGGACCTGCTGCCACTCAGGCCGTGCCCTGCTGGGGCACGAAACACAAGCAGTGAGCAGTGATGACCCCAGGGTGGCTCAGAGGGGACCCTGGGTGAGCAGCAGGGCTGTGCACACCGTGAAGGGGATGCTCCTTGCAGGGGCTGCAGACAAACATCCCCTCAGGGTGGTGAGAAGGCAGAGATGCTGTTCCTGGCCCCCAGTGCTGCCCACACGGGCTCACAGCAGCGTCTCCACCACAAACCAGCGAGGGGACACGAGGCTGCAGCGGGCTGGGTGAGCCAGTGCTGTGTCACCCAGTGTGGCAGGCAGTCCCACCACAGCCGTGTCCCAGCGGCCACTGGCCCAGGCTGACCCACCAGGATTAAGGAGCCTGGAGTAAGTAATTTAAATCCAGATTAGATTTAAGCAGCTGCTACGCAAAGGGCATGTGAGCAGAGGCTGTGCAGTGGGGATGAGCAGGTGAGAGTCTGCCTGGCACTCCTGATGTGAGGGGCTGCCAGGGCAGGGTCTGTGCCCATGGGGTATTGCCCAGAAGGACGGGTTTTTCTCCAGGCTTGGCTGGTGTGCAGCAGAGGGGAGGCAGCGCTGCTGTGCCGTGGGACAGGGCACCTCGGGATGAGATGTTCCCTGCCGTGAAGAGAGAGCCCAGGCAGGAGGATGAAGCACAGGGACACCCTGGGCTGCTCACTTCATAGGTGCTGGAGAGAGGCCACCCCTCTGGGCAGGGCTGCAGACCATGTTCCACCTCTTCTCCCACTGCTGGTCGTGGCTGCAGGCCATACAGGAGCCCATCAGGTAGGTTCCTGTGCCCACTCCGGGGCTCCCAGGGGTGACAGTATTTAGCCTGTGTTTATGAGTGGTGAGGGCACCATGTGGTGACAGGGAATGCCGAGTTGCAGGAACTGTCCCCAAGCTGCTGAGCAAGGCACATGAGTGTCCTCGCTGCCCCCGCAGCTGGCAGGAGCTGGCAGGCAGGGAAGCAGGCTGGGCAGGGATGCAATGCAGGGAATGGTTCCACTGGGATTCCAGCTCTGCAGGGGCAGCAGCTCCCCGGGAAAGCTGGGGAGGATGCACTGAAATGCCTGCATTGCTTGCATGTATCAGGACATCCAGGTTAATTCCCTGGATGGAGGAGGTTTATGGTCCTGTCCCTCCAGAATGGGCACCTCACCTGCTGTAATGCTGGAGGTGGAGCTGTGCCACCTCCACTGCCATGCAGCCTGGTGTATAAGTTAAAGGAAGAAAATGGTATTGCAAATAACTGCAGTGGCTTGTCAGTGGCAGAGAAAATATCTGTGTGGCTCTAGTGGATCATTTTGCTGGAGAGTGGGCAAAGAAAATATCTGTGTGGCTCTAGTGGATCATTTTGCTGGAGAGTGGGCAGGACTGTTTAGCAACAGGAAAAACACCCGAGTCCAAGCAGAAGCTCATAAAATCATCCGTGCTACCTTTCCCTAGCTGGGTATGCTCAAAACTTCCTGCAAGGGAGGAGTAATCACTGACTGCATATAAGGAAGAATGCTGGCCTGTGCATATGATTGCTTAATCCTATATGATTTGAAAAGAAATCTTTGCCACAGGAAGCACCATGAAGGCTCTGCAGTGTGGCTGTCCCATGGTGTTGCGGTGGCTCCAGGCACTTGTGCCTGTCCTCACCCTCTGCCATGCGCCAGGGATTGTCCCTGCTCTTGTCCCCAGCTGAGACAGAACCTGTGTCACCATCCTGCCTCTCTCCTGGCTGAAGTGCAGCTGCCATGGGCAGGGTGCTTTGCCCGGGGGCCAGCAGTGGTCACTGCTCCCCAGGGAGCACAGCCTTTTTCTGGGATGCTCACCTGCTGCTGTTGCTCCCCAGGAAGGTGACCCTCCTTGTCATGGGGCTGGACAATGCAGGGAAAACCTCTGTCATCGTGGACATAGAGAGAGGTGAGGAGCAGCACGGCCCAGGGCCGGCCTCAGGCGGCGGCAGCAACTTCACGGTCCTTTGAAACCAAAGGGCCGAGACTCGTGGAGTGCAGCCGCTGTTCTGGGAGGCGGCGGCCGTGTCCGGGCAGCCCTGGGAGCGGGGATGTGGCTGGGGCAGGAGGGGCACACGGCACAGGGATGCTCCTGTGCCAGCTCTGTGCCCTCTCCACACGGCCAGCGCTGGCCGGCGAGGCGCTGCCCGATGCTCAGCCTGGCCAGAGGCGCCTGCGGGTGGAGCGCTTGGAGGTGACGCTGCTGGAGCTGCCCGGGGCCCAGCGCTCCCGCAGCGCCTGGCGCAGCCACTACAGCCGGGCACACGGGCTCCTCTTCGTGCTGGACTCGGGGGACCTGCCTCGGATGGAGGAGGCCCGCAAGGTCCTGAGCCGCGTCCTGAGCCATCCTGACGTCTCCGGAAAGCCCCTCTTGCTGTAAGGCCGGGACGCAGCCCGTGAGGCGGGGGTGAGGGGCTGGAACCTGAGCTGGGGATGCTGCGGGGATGTGGTACCCGGGG